ACCAGGACCGGCGTGGGTGCTCTACCGACCAATAGCAGCGAGTTCCTCTCCTGTCTTCTTTGCCTCTCTTTAAGGCCTTGAGCATCATTTGGTTGGAGCGACGCACCCTAGCTTTCATGTCGCTCTTGAGCCAAGGATAACCCATGACGTGGTGAGCGTCTCAAACCGGCTGAGGCCCCCGAACTTTTCGCCCATCCCTCAACGTGATGGGGCGACCACGGGCCCGGCTGAAGAGCTTGCATTCCGGGGCCCAATGCTCCATTGCTAAACACGGGTCCTCCATCAGATCGGCCAGGGTCTGCCTCCCTTCCTCTGGGAAAAAGTCGTCACCGAAGTACCAGTCATATGGCGGCTGCACCTCGACCTTTCCCACCATCGCCACCGCATGACTCAGTGGGGCTCTTCGCCCTGCGAATCTCTCGCCGAACTTGGGGATCCTCCACGTTCTCCTGGGGCAGACCTCCTCACCTTCCCGATGCGTTAGCACACACGAGAGTGAACAAAGAGTTGCACCGCACTCCGCAGGGCACGGGTAACGGTCATGCCCAGGGATATCTTTGCCGCATTGAGCACAGACTGCCGGGTCCCTCTCGATGGTGCACGGTGCTGCTTGAAACTCAACGGCAGTCGCAGCTCCGCCTCCTGTGGGCGATGCATCTGTGACCGACACCTCTGGGTCGATCCTCGCCTTCAGGTACGTATACATGAGCGGCGTGAGCAGGACCATGATAGCAACCTCATCCCAGGAGTCTGGCTGAGGAACCGCCCGATCATTGTGCCTGGTCCTCTCATTGATTTCTCCGAACACACTCTCCAGGATGGCGAAGAGGGGGCGCCTGAAGCAACGAAGTGCCTCAACTCCGCCTCTGACCACTTCTCCTTGGCCAACAGAGTGGCGCCCAAGGTGACCACCTCGACCATCTTCTGCACTGAGAGGCCATAACGGCCCTCTTCTCCGTCTAGTTCACCCCCCTGGAGGGCTCCCAAGGTTGAAGCCACCAGCCGCTTGCCATCGTTCAGTGGCAGTGCCAAGTCCTCACACACCCTTAGGAAGCGCTTGTGGCGCTCAGACATGTCAGCCTTCACCACTTCTTCGCAACCTTTCTTGAACTTCCTCAGCTGGTCATACGAGTCCAAGTAAATGACCGTCAGGTCATCACCTGCAGGCAAAGGCTGAGTCTTGGCCACCTCAGACTCTGGCGGGATGTCGGCCTCCTTGAAGACTAACGACCTCACAATACTTTGCACCACGGCCACACTGCTGATCCAGCCCATAGGCAGCACCGCCATTGCAGGGTACACTGCTTTTCCCGGCTCTCCCCCCAGCAAAGCTGCATCCACCGGTTTGTCAAAGGCCATGAACTTATGCCACACCGGGGGCAGGCGGAACAGGTTAAAGCAACTCGTGAAGTCCTCCGAGTCCACTAACCAAACCTCTTCCTCCTCCTGTTCAAGGAGGGTAAGCTGCCCGAGATACGGCAGGAGCTTGTCATCGCCCTCCAGACGGTCTTGAAACATATTGCTTGGGATCAGGTTGCTGATGAACCGCTGGGTGCTTATCATCTTTCCATCAACCTTCTTCTCCTTCTTCACGGCCCCTGCGCCGTTGAGGACAGGACGTCCCTTCTGATCCTTGAAGACGTCATCCACCTCCACCGCTACCATCAGTCCACGCTCATACGCGGCTTGGACCACCTTGTTCCACTCCTCATCCGAGGCCCTCACTCGCGACTTGTGCGGTTCAGCGGGCCACTCATGCACTGGCTTGAGGCAGGAAGGGGGGTCCAACAACTTCGCTTTGAGCTTTTCAGGTAAGAAGGCCAATGCATCTTGGACCGCTGCCTGGCCCATCTTCGGCCACGCAGCTATCACTTTGTCAGCTCTGATGTCTTCCATCACCACCACCGGTTCACCCTGGTAGTCAAAGCGCACGGCAGCCAAATGCCTTGCTGTCTCTTCAAAGCGACCACACCTCAGCTTTCGCACCTCCATGTAGTCCAAAGCTCGCCTCAGGTGGTCCACGGTCAACTTCTGGGACTGCGTGAGCTCCTTCCGGACCTCTCGCGCGCACCACCCTCCTTGGCCCTGCGGCCTTGCCAAGTAGTTGAGAGCGCACACCATCGCGGCCACTCCTTGTGCCCTCGGCCCCCCTGAAGCCTGGAGATAGGCTATCACCGCCTGCGGGTTAATGGGCAGCAGCTCGTCGCCCCGCACTGACTTAGAGGACTTGTCCTCGAGAGGCGCTCCTTGATCCTTACCCCACTGCGCCAGGCGACTCAATGGCGTGTCCTTGCCCTCAAACGTCCTCCACAGGCCATAGAACAACTCAACTGGTGTCCGTTCTTCTGCCAAGTAGCCCTTCAAGCTTCCTTCAACCACTGCCACGGGGGGCTGAGGTGGAGCACTGGCGATGGTCTTCGGCTCCAGTTCCTCTTCTCTATCTCCTTTGCGCTTCCTCCGCCTTCTCCTCTCACTTTTCTCTTCAGGCCTCTTCTCACCTGACTTCTTCTTGGGACTTTGCCCCCTCTCAGGGCGTTGCAGCCTTTCAGCCAGAGCTCCAACCTGCTTGCCAGCAGGCCCAGCGCGGTGCCCAATGTCCTCATCCTCCTGTGAGATCTCATCCCCAGATGGGCCCCACCAGGGGACTGTTCCCGGGTGAAGACCGCAGACTGCCCCTGGCGGGGACACCTTTTCCTCCTTGGCTGGGTTGACTCCCCCGCACTCAGGGAGCCTACGTCCTATTTCTTCCGGCGGAGCCTTGGGGACTGGTGGTACGGCACCCTTGTGGTGCACTGCGACAGCCACGCCAGCTTTTGGAACGGCAGGGGCACTGCGGGAGCCTGCCTCGGGCTCACCAACGGACTCCCCTTGAATCCTGACTATGCCACCTCCTTCGAAGAGCCCTCGATCACGTCGGACCTCCTTGGCCCTTGCACGCTCCGCTGCTCCGGCAAGCTCGCCAAACAGGCCTTCCTCCACTACCTCTTCACTAGGGGACGACGGCTCGTCTATGCCCTTCTTCTTTTTCTTTGCCAGACGAGCCTCCTTTGCATGCTCTGGGTCTCCGCTGGTTGCTTTTCTCTTCCGTCCTACACCTCCTAAGGAGGGTGAATCTTTGACCTTCTTTTCCTTCTTCTTCCCCTTTTCCTCAAGGGCAATTTTCTTCTTCCTTCTGGCCTCCTCCTGCTCAATCGCCGCTCTCTTACCCTTCGTGGCGTCCTTCTTACCTGCGAGCTCTCGCTCGAGCTTCTTCACTTCATCACGGGCCTTCAACAACTTGGCCTTTAGGCCCTCCTTCGTAGGGCACTCCTCCATGGACCCTTCAGATTCGTCTTCCGAGCCTTCCTCACCTGGGCTAGCCCAGGGTGAAACTGCCTTTGCTTCAACAGGCTTCGGTGCCATCCCCCTCTTCTCCAGGTAATCATGGAAGGACTTCGACATCTCCTTCTCATGCGCCCAGGCCGGTACCCCGCCGTCGATCTCCTTCTGGGTGAGCACCCGGAACTTCTCCACATGGATGGAAGCACCTCGACGAGTGACCTTGCAGTCATGGGATGATTCCTCGCAGAAGTGATAAGCACATTTGGATGCGAGCTTCTTGTCACCTCCCTTCGCTTTCCACCACTGCATGTGGGCGTCACTGGCCCCGATGAACTTTGCGGTCACCCAGTGCCCCTCGTCGTCCGTTGACAGGGCAGCAGCTATCTCCAGGAGGATCGTACCTCGGGCATGGCTATCACCATCCCGGACAGCACCTTCCACCAACTGCCCTGTCTCAAATCTGTGAGCCATCCATCTTTCTCTGTCCACACCCCCCGCCACCCACATTGGGGCGACGGGGGGTAAATCAGTTGCTCTCAGCCCAAACAGCTTCGAAGAGTGCGAGGACATATCTTCGTAGTCCTACTAAGTAGAGTCATCACTCAATGCAATATATCTCAATTAAAATATCGTATTTTAAAGTTCGATGCTCGCATTTCGCATTCAATGTTCGAATATCGAATTTCGAATTGCGTGCCTTAAATCGCGATTTTCGCATCTCAAATTCTGCATTTCAAATTTCGCATCTCGAATATAAGAATTCGGATCTTAATACCAAAGCTCGAATCTCGAATTTCCAAAATCGAAATTCCCATTTCGCATCTCGAATTTCAATTACCGAATCTCGGATCTTAAATTCCGAATCTCGCATTTCGATTCTCGGATCTCAAATCTCGGAATTTCGTTCTCGAAGCTCGCATAAGGCATAACTTGCAAATATCGGATCGTAAAGCCTTTCCAAAAAGAATTATTCATTTTTGGGTCAAAATGGAGCCGTAAGAATAAAATAAACAATTGCAAAATAAGCATGATTTTTCGACGAATAACATAATCCAATTCTCGAATTTCAAACAATTTGCGAATATCGAATCATATTAAGATCCCAAAAATATTATATAAATATATATCGAAATAATCATTTAAAAATAAATGCGCCAAAACGAAGAAAGGTAATAATAAAAAATATACCAAATAATTTATTTATTTCGATAAATTAATAAAATATTTCAAAATAAAAAACAAAATAATTCAAATATCTAGAAATTATAAATTTCAATGTTCCAAAATAATCTAGTTATTTCCAATAATTTTTATTAAACCTAAGATATAAAATTATCAAAGAAAAATAAACCGCTAAAAAATTTCAAAATAATAAAATATTCCTATAAAATATTAATTTCGTCGAATTACGTATGTATGTCTTATTATAATATCAAATAATATTATAAATAGCAATTTCAAAAAATATAAAAATTAAATTCAATATTCATTTGTTTTATTCTTTAATATTGTTTTAATTTAATTTCTTCCAATAATATTCGTTTTTAATTTAAAATAATTTATTTATAAAAAAAATATCATGTTATTCATTAACAAAATAATTTTAATTCCATAATAAAATATTTTAAAAAAATAAATATATATATATATTGAAATATTATTAATATATATTAATATTTCAAAATTGTTGATTTTGATATTTGTGCATTATTGAGGTCGAATTGGTCAGATGGAATTGACGATTCCAAGATTTGATTCAAGGCTTGGACTCCATGTGCTCGTAGGAGGAGGTGGTGGGACTGCGGGGGCGGGAAGGGGAGGCGAGGCATCGGACGTATTTGACATGCGTAAATGAGTTGCTAGATCAACCATTGTAAGGTCGAGTCTTCCGGCATTTCTGGGAGGGTCCTTGGATGATCAGAATCGAAATACAAGTGACCTTTATGTGTTCACAGTACTTGACAATTGACTCACTTGCAAAAATTGTGCCATGTATCTTTTCTTGTTGCAAACAAGCTGCCACCAACATAGATGCAGCAGAGATGTCCTCCACGCTTTCAACCTCTGCTGACTCTGCTGGGTCTCGTAATGCTCCATCGTAGTCAAAACATAGGTCTGGCTGCAAGTACCCCCGCCCATGCTGCCACACAACCTGCTGATGAAAACCACTGCGTTGTTCTCTTTGGTCCACACCATGCAGTATCCTCATCATATGAACAGGGTTTACGTTGAACCAGTTGAAGGAATACATCCGCTCAAGCTGCTCATAGGGCAAATCATCATACCACACTCTTTCCCCAAGACCTTTGTGACTCGGATTGGAAAGAATGCGATCGAAAGCCCACAAGTATAGAAGTGAGATGATGGCCACAGCCAGGATGAACATCACCGGCTGACCAGCTCGAAATCCCCAGTGACAAACACAACCGCCCAAGATTCCAAGCGACAGTGTCATCATCTCCAATGCTGAAGTGTCAAGATTGCGCGACGTATAAAACGTTTCCTTGCTAAGGCCCAGATAGATATATTTGTTCAAGAAGTACATACCACAAACCCACATGACATCCCAAGTAAAGACCCTCCACGAGTCAAACCCGAAAATGAAAAGACACATAAAAGAAGTTGCTTCCAGCACCACGATTCCTGCATAATCATACTGCATGTACCATTCGGGTGGCTCAGCAGCACTTTCAGCCATCCACTTGCATCTTGTTTGTGTGAGTCCAGATCGATCTTGCGACAAGTGCAAGTAAAGTACTTGCACAAAGCCTTTCAGCCAATAGAAAAGATAGTACAATGGCCAAATCGCGTAGGAGATAAGCGAGCCACGCAAGAATGCCACTAGCCTAGAGGCCAGGGCAGATTCAAACTGAATTGCTGCAAGTGGTTCTTGCGGAACTGGACCTGTTGTCCAGCAGATCACGAAGAAATTGAAGCACATGTTGGTGAGCACCACAACCGCATACCATGTCAATACAAAGGTGTCAGTGTGTGTCTTCACTCTGTATCCCACCTGTTGGGAGGCAAACCAAACTAGCTGATTCAGAAGTATGTTTCCCACAGCACAGCAACAAGTGACAATGGTTGTGAGGATTTGCTCGGGGTATTGACCTTTGCCATAAACCAACTTGTACAGAAGATAGTACAGAACAAGCATCAGAACAAATGCGCTGACAATTAATGCATTTGCTGCCAGCATCTTCCTTTGTCTCACAATGAGAAAGCACTTCATCCTCAGACCGCAGAGCGTAAACGCCGAACCAATGGGCTCGAAAAGATGAGTCGCAAAATTGGTCCAGATTATGGAGGGTGGCTCACATGGCATTGGCCTCAAGTTGATGCTATGTTTCTCTTCAAATTTGTTCTCGTGCAGGCATTGCTGGACCCTCTGCAGAATCTCAACCGCTTCGCAAGGCCATTTCCATACAATGATGACTGCTCCAGAATTTGGAATCGAACGCAAGACTTCTAGGGCATGGTCAACGCCATCACTACTTTCAGGGGCCAAACCAGCCAGTTCTAGAGCAGTGGCGCGCTGTTGTTCCAGCGACGCTGGAAGAATTGCAGAGCATTCGGAGCCTGAAGAATGGCAGGATCCAGACTCATCAGAATCAGATGTTTCGCTTAGAGACCGTCTGGCAGCCACATCGATCAGGTGCTCTTCAACCAAATGCTCAATCAGCTTTGATTGATCTCTAAAGTCATACCCAATAGATACACCAATAATGTCAGGTCTCCAGTGCATATCCTCCACCTTCAAAGACCTCAATGAATGCTTCAAGTACTCCACAATGCTGCTTTGTGTTGCGGTTTGAGGAAAACCAAAGGCCATGAAGGCATAGTCAGACATCTCCGCATGTGTTCGATCAAATTCATCTCTGCGGGCACCCTGTCTGTATAAGTGATACAAGTGCAAAAGTGATATGACAATGTACAGTCGCATCAGGGCCAAGGCCCTTTCTTCCGCCAATTCGACCCATATGGATGTGGCCTCAGCACTTGAAAACTCCCTCTGGCACCAATCCTTTTCAATGTATGTCAGAAACTTTGCAGACACTCCATTTCCGATTCTGCATAAGACTGCTGTGCCCAAGAAGAGCACCATCGTGGAACGGTACAGAGTGAGCCCAACACCAGTGATGTTGACCATGTCCAAATCCAAAAAGCAGATTTTGCGCAAAGCGCTGCAGCTGAATATGTGAGCTTGCCACCGCAAAGGTTTCCAATTTCTACGCTTTTCCGGAACAGATGCATGGCAACGAGTTTGGTGCATCAGTGCGCTGCTTATCAACCTCTTGTAGGATGCACTGTGCCACCTTTCTTGTAGGTGCAGTGCTAATCCAACAATGAGAACAATTGCAATTAGCCCAACGACCCCTCCACCGATGGCATAAACAACTGTGGACAACGTGGTTGAGCTCGCAACTGCTGACCTAAACATTGCAGTCTTGTTTTGCATACAAGTATGATTGCGCACAAGCTCTTCTTGCAAAAGGCACTTTGTTCTGGCGCTTGTGCATTCTCTTCGACCCAGTATCCAGCTGATGAGAACAGCAAGGCCCATGCCAAGACTAAACCACCCTGCATGGGCACATCTTCGCAAATATTGATAGCACTCCATAGCGCAGGGCCACTGTTGACCCTACGTGAAGCTCTACAAACGGTGCATCCGTAGATCAAAGGCCACAGTTGTAAAAGGGTACATGGTACTGATATGCATTACATGAGATGGTTCAGTCCATGCTTTTGGTATGGTTCTCTTTGAGGTTCCTATTGGTACAAATTTCTGCAGTGTTACATTGTGGCCAAGTGCTGCAGGGAAATGTGATGTGAATACAGCAACTGCAACATGAAGAATAGACTCAATCTGCGGGCAACCAGGTAGCCCGGTAGCCAAAGAGCTGCAAAAGCGTTGGCCGTCATTGACTCCAGTCAACTAGTTAAACTATTTGGAGCAAAAGAATGGCAACAAGTAAAGTGCAAGCAAGCCTCTGTTGAAGTGAAACTTGCCACTCGCTCATTTGCTGGCACTTTTCGAAACAGGAGCTAAATGCATGGCATGCTTGCTGCTGTAGCCCAGATGTGAGGCTCATCATTAGGCAGAGATGCTGATTTGCTCCCAGTCAGTCTGCCAACGGTGTGCTTTATGAAAGGCCGGTCAATCAGGAGCCAGTTCATGCTCGCGAAGGCCAAAAATGCGGTAGAAAAGGCAAAACGGAAAGTGAAAAGATGTCACAAGACTCTTCGTTTGGTTTGGTTGACTAAAGCAAGACAATTGAGAACCAGCAGTGGGCAGATTACTCGGGTGTTGGTTTTCGTTCACTTCCATGGTTTCCCAAAGCAACCCCTCAGCACCTCGAAATCGGCCTGCAAAGGAGCTTTAGAAGCGGGAAGCCAACAAGACCTCAGAAGACACAAGTCCAATCATTGATAGCTTCACGGCTTGTCAAGCTTCCAGCAAAATCTCTAGCTTCAGATTCGTTCTTTTGCACATCAAAGAAGAATATTTGATCAAGCCGCGCATTCACGTTGGTAAAGAGACGTGTCCGGTAGAACTCCTGACCTGATCAGTCTCTTCAGCTATTTGAAGAAAATACAAAACAAAATGAGATCGGACTTGATGACTACAAGGTGTGATGTGTACTGTGATGGTCACTTGCCATGTCATTTCGAACAAGTCGCTGTGGGTCATCACCTGCTGTGCACTTGCTCTATCCTTCACTGCATTTCCAGACGGATCGACGTAGCACCAAGGTCGCCTGATTTCGGAGAACATAAGTCCAAACCAAAGTCCAAACTCCAAACAGGAATCATGGTGAGCAACAAAGCTTGGAACAGTTAACCAGACTCTCCTGACCCTCCGCATTCAAACAAACCCAGTAGCCTTTTCCCAGCCATTTCTGGTGGTGCTGCAGGACCTTTGGCAACATGGCCCCAGTGCTCTACCTTGGTAGCGCGCAATGTCTGTCCAACAAGAACATCCCTTTTTCCAAGCGTCAAACACAACCCAAAGCACAGCAGGGCAGCTGAGTATACTTGGAATAGTCACTCCATGGTTCTGAAACTATGTTCCGGGAACTACGGATGTTTCAGAAACTACACATGTTTCTGAAACTATGGATCGAAAACTGCCTATGTCTTGGAAACTGTTTGGAATGCTTTGGAGACTATGTATGTTTCTGAAACCATCTTTCGGAAACTCTGTGGCTTTGGGATTCATGTGAAATTCTCCAAGCCAGCAAGGGTCTAGATTCGTTAGATAATGCTGTTGGCCCCAACCCCCCAGCCGCAAGTGTCTACACGACCTTACATGCTGTTGCAATTGTGGCTTTTGACTGGCATGTAGCTTCAGAAGCGTGGTGTCTGAAGCGGGCGTGGTTTCTGAAAGGCACATAGATTCTGAAACGTAGTTCATGGTTTCTGAAACGTGGTTCCTGAAACACACGTATACTTTCTGAGACGTGGTTGCTGAAACGCGCGCATGGTTGCTGAAACGTGGTTTCTGAAATGCAGTTTCTGAACCAGAGTTTAGTTTATTTGGAATTTGGAGTAGTTATAGTTGAGAAAAGCAGCTTTCAGGAGCACTGCAACCCTTGCCTGCAAAACATACAAAATGCATGAGCACAAACTGTGAAGAAACAAAATCGTCGCATCTCTTGTCAAACTTGTCCTCTCTCTACAACAGAAGACTTGAAGGCCTCCCCCGGCATTTTCTCGTATTCTGCCACCTGGAGAATGATCGAACTGATGACTATCTCACAGAAGTGTCTGTCTGATGTGTGCCTCCTTCAAGACTGCTAAAGCTTTTTGCCCAAAGGTGGTGTCCAGACTTTTCAATCCAAGCGCTGCTGAGACGATGCCTTGGAACTGCCATGCTAGAGTGGATTGTTCATCCTCAAAGATGCTGTCATAATGTGTGTGTGTGTGTGTGTTTGAGTGACTTCTATCTTGAAAACAAAAAGTTTTGCATAGAAGTCACCCAGGTAGCTCGAGCCGCCTTTCTTTTGAAGCAAGGTTATGGCCTGCAAAAGCGCACGGCAAGCAGCTAGCAGCTAGCTTGCAGCTATGTTCGAAACAAAGAATCTACTACTTTCCGAATGAGCGGTGCTAGTCTGGCCTTGAGCCTGAGATCATCTGTATCTTGCACCTTCTGAACTGCCTTGCTCTCAGTTTGGTCTGCTCGGGTTGTCCTGCTGTCTGTCCTTACGCTTGTTGCGTTGCTGCTCTCATCTCCAGCGGGAGGTTCCTTTGTTGCGCTGATAGGAACCACGAGCTCAGGTCTTTGCTGTGCAAGCACTTCCGCTTTCTGAAATGTGGCGTTGGTCTCAGTGACCTTGTCACCTGCAGCCTCACCACCCTTCATCTTTGTCTTACCTCGGACTGCCTTCGCCTTAGCTTTGGCGGCTTTGGCCTTGGGGGCCTCAGACACAGCCTCGTCATCCTGCAACGATCTGCAAACGAAACACAACTTCACCCCTCATGTCTTTCATGTCTTGTCAAACCGAAAGCGAGAACAGTCCTCAGAAGCATTATCTGCATCACCTGGACGGTTGTGTTTCTTAAGCAGCTCCTGGCACTGACGAGTAGGAAAAACTCAGAGGCGATCAGCTCAGCTCCTATCAGCCCGACGAAAAGGCTGCAAGAATTCTCCTCCATTTCCTGGCCCTGCTTGCTCAAAATGCCCCCATCGTCTTCACCTTTGCAAGAACAGTTTTTGCAGAGCGACTTGAACACACTTCAAAGGAAGAATGTTCATTAGTCCTCTCCAATCCCGACACCCTGTATTAATCGCAAATGTAAGACAAGTCGACGTTGCAAGTCTTGTTCAACTCGTACAGCACTTCAAACCCTGCACAATAACAAACAAGCAGCTCTCGCTTTCCCAAATCTCCTCAGGAGCTAGGACCCGCGTGTCTGTGTCTTCAGCTCGGTCATTTCGGTCTTCCTCCTCCTACGGCCACAAGACCATCACTTCTTCTCGAAGTGACACAAGAACATCACTTCACTAAAGAACAGTGCGACCAAAGAAATGCAATGGAACCAATAACAGCAATTGGCCACAAAAGGCGACACACAGCCCACAGAATAGACTCGTCGATGGCATGGATGATAATGTGCATCGGCATGAGCACTTTGTACTTTGAGTCTTGAGAATCGAAACAGCACGGGGTGGCACCAGGGCTTTGATGCTGGACAGTCTAGGCAAGCGACGCATTACTAACAGTACTTATACATGCAGCAGCACCAGCAGCAGCAACAGCTGCAGCACAAGGCATACCAACACCACTTGCAATGGAGTGATCCAAATAAACTGTGTCTGAAAGAAGCAAGGAATGGATTCCCAAGTCTGAAGCCTTCCACAACTTTGACACCAGTGAACCAAAGTAGACGCAGTGCTCACGAAAGGAGACACGATCCCTTTCTTTGGCATAAATGGCTGAGAGCAAGCATTGGAGTCACAGGGAACCTTTTGGTTGTCAGAGAAAGGGGGCAACGGCCAGTCTTCCCACGATGCTCAACGAAGCTGCGGAAGACTGGTGGAAGCATTCAGGGACGCCTGAACGTGTACCTGCCGTTGGAAACCCACTACCTATAGAGCGATTCGTCCGTCTCGCTCCCTAGAACAGGAGGCTTTACGTTTCTTTAATCTACTCTACCCTCCCTAGAACTAGAGGCTTTATGTTGTTTGTCTAACTTACCTAGAGCGATTCCTCTGTCTCCCTCACTGTGTGGAACTACCTCTACTTCTACCTACCCTACTGTATTGGTTGCTTGTCAGCCCAAGATCAGACATGTGCACTCGCATGTGTGTCGAGTTTGCTTGCGTGTTTTATGCAATCAAAGATCAGACATGTGCACTTGTCTGTGTGTCGAGGTTTACTTGTGTTCTCTTTCTTTTATGCAGCTAACTTGCTAGTCATGGCCTCCAACCTGTTGCGTTGAACCCCACTAGAAGCAATGGCCTCTAACCTAAAGGCTATGACCACCAACATTTGCTGTTGAATCTGGCTGTGATCTGATTTCAACCACTGTCTTGTCTGCCACTTGCAACTAACCTACTAGTGATGGCCTTCACCCCCTTGCACCTTCCGTTTTCTTGGGACGTTTGGCATCAATCTTGCAACACGCAGCAATGGAAAAAACATTGGCCCAGAATCCAGGCATTGGGTGCAATCAGATTGAGCCTCAAGGCTATTACTATAAAGGCAAAGGAGATTCAGCGAATGCTTCAATTTCAGGGCGAAACTTCTCATGAGCACTTTAGGCAAAAGCATCAGATCGGCAAAAGAAGCTTGTCAACAACAGTGCAAGCACCCATCTCGCGCTTGTCCATTCCCTGGTAGGTTGGGAGAGGCGAGACAATTGTACGCATGGTTCCCAAGAGTGTCTCGATGCACGCTCTTTGTTGTATTTGTTTCTCTCTCAGAACGAAAAGATTGAAACTAGCAATCTAGTTGAGACAAATCAGTATATATTTGTCTTGACAACTGCGAGGAGCTCAGTGCTACCACATGGTTTGTGTGGTAGACTTGCGTCCTGCTCGTCATCTGAGAACTCTTCTGCGTCCTCGAAGTCCCAAAGACCTTCGCCTGGTTCACATGCTTTTTCCGGACGCTCTAGTCTCAACGGTGTTGGTGATTGGAATTCTTGGCTGATATTTTGACTATGATCAGGA